TTTACAACCCCCCCCACACACACACACACACAGCCTCTGCCTAGGGAGCAGCTGACATCATTCCCAACTGAAAATTCCAACTGCCTTGGGGGGGTGAGTTTGAGGTGTGGAATGGAGTGTAGTCCAATCAGCTTCCATATGTAAATGACCTTGGAACGCTGGCCGGGACTGCACAAAGCAGCCAATGAACCCAGCCAGTGTCTTCCGAGTGGCAGTTTTTTCGGCCTAACACTAAAGGGGCCAATTTTAGAATTCTGGCACCCAAAACTCTTTTATAATAAGGGAGAGATAAGAGAGGCCAATGTTGGATCAGGCCAGTGGCCCACCCAGTCCAACACTCTGTCACACAGCAGCCAAAAATACCAGGGGCCATCAGGAGGTCCAGCAGTGGGGCCAGGACACCAGAAGCCCTCCCACTGTCCCCCCCCCAAACACCAAGAAGACAGAGCATCACTTGCCCCAGACCAAGAGTTCCTATAAGAACGTAAGAGAAGCCAATGCTGGATCAGACCAGTGGCCCACCCAGTCCAACACTCTGTGTCACACAGTGGCCAAAGATACCAGGTGCCACCAGGAGGCCCAGCAGTGGGGCCAGGACATTAGAAGCCCTCCCACTGTTGCCCCACCCCAAGCACCAAGAATACAGAGCATCCCTTGCCCCAGACTTAGAGTTCCTATCTAGACCTTGTGGCTAATAGCCACCGATGGACCTCTGCTCCATATGCATATCCAATTCCCTCTTGAAGCCGTCCATGCTTGTAGCCACCGCCACCTCCCGTGGCAGTGAGTTCCACGTGTTCATCACTCTTTGGTTAAATAAAACGAAGCTGCCCTGAAGTGAGTTTAGACCGCAGGCAGAGGAAGGTCTTCCCCCAACACTGGCCCTCCCTGAGACCCTGTCATTTGAGGGTGAACCCTGGGACCCCTTGTGCATGAAGAGGAGGCCCTTGACCAGGAGCTGTGGGCCCTCTGGACTCGCCCCCTCCCCGGCCAGCAGTCTTTGGTGTGTTGAAGACCCGGACTGCCTGTTCTCCAGGGGTCGGGGGCCGGTGGAGCACACAAGGCAAAGTGAGGCCCCGAGGCCCTGTTTGCTTGCCGGTGATGCCAAGTCCTTGATCTTTCGATATCAGGCTAAACTCAAAAGGAACTGGGGGAAATCCGGGATGTACGTTGGGGTGAAAAATGACCTTCTGCTAGGTCTGGCCTTAAGTACAGGAGGGGGAACGAGCGCTGTGCTCTGTCTCCTCCCCTCCCCTCGATGTGCCTGATCTGCCTCTTGAGTCCACAGCTTGCCTGTCACAGGCCTGGTAGCCGCAAGGAATGAGAAAGCACCAGGTATCCTTGGCAAGTGTGATGGACACAATGACAACACAGCTCTCCCAGTTTCTGCCGTTTGCTCAGGCCTCCTTTCCCCCCCAGCCATTGGCTAGAGCGGCAGTGACATCACATACCGCTGGCATTCTAGACGTTCGCTGTATGCGTGCGTAACTTGTGAGCAGCCGAATGTCGGCAAACTGCGATTCCTGCGAGGGAAGTGAGGGGTGTCGGCAGGACCTGATTGTCAACGTAGCAAGTCAGCTCTTCAGCAGAAGTAGCAATAGTTATTGTTGTGATCTTTCTTCTTGCACACATCGGGGCGGGGGGTTGCCTCTAAATGCCTCGGAGAAACCTCGGCAGAGATGGGAGTCTGCAGAATCTCAGCCTCCAACTCATCCTTCTTCTCTCCCCCCCCCCCACACCCCTTCACCTGCCCCCCCCCCCACCCCCCTTCCCCTGCCTCAGCCCCCGCCCTCTTTGGCCGAGCGTTCCATTTGTGAGTTGCTTTCCTCTCTCTTTTCTGCCCGTCGGTACCTGATTTTGTTTTTCTCCCTCACATCACAGGGGGCCTTTGGGATGCGGCAGCCGAGCCCAGCTGCCTGGCGGTGGGGCCGGCCCCGGTCCGAACGCTGCTGAGCTTGGATGATGCCGTTTGGGCCAGCTGTGGCAACCAAGTCACCGTGTTGGATGCCGCCACGCTGAAGGCGCAGGTAAGGCTGTGGAGCTGCAGGAGGGAGAGGAATGGCGGCTTAGAGCAGGCACGGAAAGGCAAGGGGAGGCAGGCGGCCTTTCGCACTTGGCTGTTTGCAGTCCTTTCCTGAGGGTCTGGGAGTGAAGAGCAGAGTCCTCCTCGCGCTCCTGCAGAAGGAACCCGAGTCACGGGAACGGGGCTGTTGGGTTCAGAATGTCCAGAGGTCCTTGTGCTGCTTTGGGACAGGAATGGCGGGGTCTGAGTCTTCCACAAGGGGCCGGCTCTCGGCAAAGAGTTCCGGGTGGGCTCTCTAGGAGACGAGGCTGCACCTCTGGCTACCACGTCTCCAGAAAATGCCTCTGTTTCTGTGTCTCGGCAGCCACCACACTGCAAAGCCAGGCAGGGCTGTGGCGGAGTGGGAGCCAGGTGAGCCTGAACATCTGGTCCAATCCAGTAGGAAATTCTACTGCAGAAACCCAAAGGGGAGTGCACAGGAGAACTACATGCGGGAACACCTCCATCCTGTGCTGAAAGCACTGCACTGGCTGCCTATAGCATACCAAATTCGGTTCAAGGTGCTGGTGCTTACCTTTAAAGCCCTTTATAGTCAGGGGCCTACTCACCTCAGGGACCGCCTTTCCCCACGTGTTCTCCAGAGAGCACTACGATCGGGGTCCCAAAATCACTTGGCTCTTCCAGGCCCCAGAGAAGCCAGGCTAGCCGTGACGAGGGCCAGGGCCTTCTCAGTGGCGGCCCCATACTGGTGGAATGAGCTCCCGGAACACATCAGGGCCCTGCGGGACCTTTTGCAGTTCCGCAGGGCCTGTCAAACAGAGCTCTTCCACCGGGCCTTCGATTAGGGAGCCACATCCGTCAGTCTGAGGCCCTGGCCCCAATATTAACGTCAGCATTAATATCAACGTTACACCCACTCGAATAGCCTGTGCTCCGCCGATACAACCCAGACCACGATGCCAGCTGGCTGTCGGATGCCCACCATCGTCACATTGCGCTAGCACTTTGCGTTTTGTTTTCAGACCTATTTTATTGCGATTTTATTTAATTAATTATCTTGTCATAATACTACGTAAGCCACCCTGAGCCTCCTCCAGCGGGGAGGGCGGGATACAGATTAAATAAATAAATCATAATACATGGTGAATGGTGCAAAAGGTTTTTTTTAATTAACTTTTTATTCGCATTTTGTAAGTTAAAGATTACAAACATTTCGTAGTTTAGAGAAATAAGACATGTAAACGACGATCCAATACATAGGCAGAAGTGGGGAAGAGCAACTAAACAAACTTGAGCTGTAGAATAAGTGAAATGTTACTTGTGAGTGAAAATAGTGACGGATAAGTCCGATGAGTAAATTACGTCTCATTTTATGGGTTTAAAGAGGTTTAAGGCAGAAATGCCGTGCGACACACATAAACTGAATGGCTATAGAGTAGGTAGTGAGAGGGTAATATCATCAGCAATGTTCCCTCTAAGCTGTGGAGTCTTGTGAGCAAAAGTTCTACTTTGTGAGCTACTGGGCATTAAAGTTGTGAGCGAGCGATTTGGCTACCGCATCAATTAGTTTGCTCTGGAGCCCTCCTTCCTGAGCGAAGACAAAAATGTGTGAGCTGGAGGCTAAAAAACTGAGCTGGCTCACACTAACTCGGCTTAGAGGGAACACTGATCATCAGGTGTAAAGTGGTTCTGAGATATATCTGTCTGTGGGGTTGGATGTCATTTGCAGTTATGTACTCAAAAAATAGGAACCATTTCTGGGGAAAATTAGATTGTCTGGGATAAAGCTCCGTTTGACGTAGATGTTAATGTGTGTGTGTGTGTAGCCCTTGTGGATTGTCTTGGTCTGTCCCAGAAGGCTGGGGACTGTTTGCCCCTGAGAAGAGCCCAGGGCACAGAGAGAGAGAGAGAGAGAGATCGGCACCCTCTGAGTAAGCCCACTCCAACTGCACAACCCCTCCGGTCTGGCCACTGTGTGGCGCTGTTGCGGCATGTGAAACGGGCGCACTGACAGCGCTGTTCTGCAGGCTGGCCTCCCCGGACACCCTTTGGAACAGGACCGGCAACCGCAGCAGAGATGGATAGTGGGGCGTCTTTATTGATGCTGCAAATTTCTTGGTTGACCGGCTGTGCGGCCGCTGCCTCCCTCTGAGCGTTCTCCTTCTATTATTCATGAGGCCAATACGCTGCTGCCCGCACTCAGCCTGGCTGAACTGTGCCCGCTTGGGCCTCGGAGGTCGGCTGCAGGATCATAAAACTCTCCACGGGTGCCAGGCAGGGGCTGCTGGTTACGAGGCCTCTGTCGGGGGCGGAGGACGCCCTCACTAGTTAGCTCCGCCATCTGCAGTGCTCCTCCGGCTCTCGTCCCTAACTAGTTCCAGGCGTTTCATTGCAAAGAGGATATCGCAGGACTGGAAGCACGCAGCTGAAACGGTCAAGGGGCTGGAAAGGCTACGGCATTGGGGGATTTGGAGTTTGGGGAAAAGATTGCCCTGCGGGTAGGAGAGAGGATGGGGGCGGCTGCGAAGTTGTGAATGGCTTAGCAGGGTGCTGGGCTGCGTCAGTGGTGAGCAATTCTCGTGGCCGTCCAAGCTGCGTCTCAAGCCTGCGCTCCCAACAGGAAGAACCCCGGTGGGTGTCGGCATTGGCTCGTTTCTGATCAAGCCCGAGGGTAGGAGACGTCTCCCTGAGCCTCAGCTCACCCATCAGTAAAACGGGCACGATCTCGTGGGGTGGCAAGGAGGAGCCAGGCAAAAAGCCGTATTTGCACAGCATATTTTTAAGGGGGGTGCCTGTCTGAGAGCTGGTTATTTCCAGTGCAGGAAGCCACCACCACCACCACCCCGGTCTCCTGTTTGGCCACAGGGTGGGTGCAGCCTGGTGCTGGGGTCTTGTTTAAAAACAGTTCCAAATTGTGAAAGTACCTCTCCCTCCCCCAATATGGCCCAGCGATCCTTTCCGCGGCCCAGGTCACTCTAACCAGTTCCGAGTTTTCCACTTGCGCTCAGGGGATGTTTATGTCCCTTCCTAAGAGCCAGTTTGGTGTAGTGGTTAAGTGCGTGGACTCTAATCTGGGAGAACCGGGTTTGATTCCCCCACTTCTCCTCCACTTGCACCTGGCTGGGTGACCTTGGGCAAGCCGTAGTTCTGGCACAGCTGTTCTTGAGAAAGAGCAGTTTCTGTCAAGAGCTCTCTCAGCCCCACCGACCTCACAGGGGGTGTCTGTTGTGGGGAGGGGAAGGGAAAGGAGTTTGTAAGCCGGTCTGAGACTCCCTTGGGTAATGAAGGGCCATGGGGTATAAATCCAATATCTTCTTCTCTTCTCTCTTCTTCTCTCTCCCCGCCCCGTTCCCGTTGGAGGAAGAGCTTCGGGCCGCCTCCGGGCACCACCCGCATTGTCTGTGCTCAGAACTGCCTTCACCTAGATTCTCTTCTTGCCGTCTCTGAACACCCCACGCACAAATACACTATTCCCCAAGGCAATAAAAAGCTCTGCCTTCCACTTGGTGCTTTACCAGGGGATGTCTGGCGTGTGTGTGTGTGTGGGGGGGATTCTATTTTCTTCTGCACTGGCTGTTGGGGGGCAAATTCCCCCCCCCTGCATCTCTGAAATGGCAAAAGCCGGGGGGGGGGGGAGAGGTTGCAAGCAAAAAGCTAGCGGTTCCACAGCCTTGTAAATGAAATGCTTTCTGCATGCTTGCGCACATGCGCTCTGTGGGAGCCAGGTGTAGAGCCTTTTGCATCAATAAATCTTTGGTGCACCTTCTGGAACTCTCCGCACAGCTGTGCTTGGCTCCGTCACTCGCGTTGGTGGCCCTCTTGCGTCGACAGCCCAGTTCAAATCGAACGGTGGAGTCGGATTCAGCCCCCTCAAGGGAGCCGGCCTTGGGCTCCTTCCATTGGACCTGGTCACAAGGGGGGGGGGCGTCCGCAGAACAAGCCGTGGCCATTTCCCAGTGTTAGGAATCAAATGGGAAACTCGGCTGGCCTCTGCGAACAGCCGAATGCAAACGCTGCAGGAGCCATCTGGGGTTGTCTGAACAGAGTTGTGACCTAGCAGAAGGGTCTGTGTGTGCGTTCGTGTCGAGTGGGTCCGGAGAGGGGAGTTGCTGGGCCCACTCCCCAAGCAGCTAGCAGGTGACGTGCGAAGCAGTGCAAAGATGACTTTAGCCTATCAGACACCTGGCTTTGAACCCGCGGGCCAATGAATGGGAACTACACAGGTATATTGTAGCGCCTCCGGGAAGGTGCTTTGTTGAAGACGGTGAATAAAGGGTTATGTGGTGTGCAGGGGGTGCTTGGTTTTGGCCTCGATTGTGAGAAGAAGCAGTCTGAAGCATTTCAGATATTACTTTCTGTATTGACAAGTTGAAACAATAATAATAAAAAAGAAGAAGAAGAAGCAGTGTTAAGTGCCTGGCGTGAGCAGAGGACATTGCCTTCTGCCGCTGAGTGACCTCAGCTCTGGGGGCGGGGAGGAGCGCCCAACCACCAGTATGGGCATTGATGTGAACTTACCTCGGTTTCCCTGCCTGCATGTCAGAGTCTAAGCTGGCCGGGCCATTTAGTCTGCCTGAGATGGCCGGCTGTATAGCAGAGGCTGGCTGGCTGTTTTGCTGCTCAACCCGCCCTCCAGCAGTGCTCTGTGAGAGTCCTCTTAGCTTTTAGGCTGCTTCTCTTGCTGCTCCGGACCACTTGAGTGTGTTTCTTCCTCTTCGCGAAGCTGCCTACGGACTGGGAGGGGGAGATGCTGAGGGGCAGCCCCCCAATGTCAGCGCGAACGTCTTTTGAGCAATCAGTGGGGGGGGGGTAGCTCTGCCCAGCAAGCACAGGAGAATAGGTGCTGATGAACGAATAGCAGAACAGGTGATGCACGGCTGTGAGCGGGGTGGGGGTGGGTGGGGGGGGCTCCAACAGACATGTTGCATTCCCTACTGGGGTATCCTTAGAAACCAGTAGTAGTACCCAATGCTCCCTCTAAGCTGTGGGGCCCTGTGAGCAAAG